ACACACACACACACACACACACACACACAGCTTTCTTCTACTCACCGAGCATTTCGGGCAGCAGGAATAAAAAACTGACACAGCAGCAAACTGAGCTTCATGCTCCGCTCAGACGAGCCGCCGTCCTCGTCTGTGGACCAGTGTGTGGAAACACTGGTTGCTTATTCCCCACTGGCAGCACACACACACTCTCTCTCGCACACACACCCATTCAATTAACATGCACACTCAAAGACAAGCAGCTTATTAGTTTTAAGGAGGAAGCAGGTCGACCTCGTCTGCACAGACAAAGGGCTGAAGGTGTCTGCTGACATTCAGCTACTGACGCTGCCTTTTCTTGTCAACATACACACACACACACACACACACACACTCTGCAGCTGTGAACTGACAATGACTTCACCGTGTACCCTCCATTTTTAGTCCTGGAAGGAAGAAAACTGCTTTTCACCTGATTTCACAGTATGGACACACACACCCCTATCCTGTTGGTACAGTCCAACACTGCCTGCCTAAACATGCTGCCCCATAAACAAATTGGTCTGTTTGTCAGCTGACTTCACAGTGAGGTAAGAGAGGACACACACACACACACTCCTGCTGCCGGGTTTTTTCTCACATCTCGAGCCTTCGACCACTCGGGATCTGTAACTTCTCCTGGGGTTACAACGACTGCCAGCACACAGGAGGGGCAACAAAGATTCCATTTTTACTGTAATGATTGGCTCAAATATCTTTATTTTAACTGGAACGAGCTGAATTTCACAGGAAAATCTGAAACAATGATTCACATCCTTTCTTACATGAGAGCACAGTTCAGTATGGTTTGAAAACTGGACGTATTCGACTGTGTCAAAGTGAAAAGCCTGAACTATCAAAAAATTATTTCAGATTTGGGGGTGGGGATTGATTCCTGCAAAGGTGGCATCCTTTATAGCATTGAACTCAAATTCAGTGAGCTTTTTCTTTCAAAGGGTTTTTGTAGAAGGCAGACTGCACAACAGATTTTTCACACTTAGGGAAATGGGACTAAATAAAACCCACCGATTCAAAGATTCACAAGTGTAACCCCAACACTTACAATAGTCTTAAATGTCCCCCTGAAATCTGTCTTATGAGAATTTTTTAGCATTAGCCGCCACATAAAGCAGCCAGCATGGTTCAAAAGTAAAAAGGAGTGCCACCATCAAAACTCAATAAAAAAGCAAATCCAGGGCATCTGTTTGACAGCTGATTCTCTGAAGTGCAGAGCTACAGTGTTAAAATCAGGAATTTTGGCCTCATCTGCTCTTGTATACGAGCGACCACCACCTCTGCTTCAAAGACAAAGATGTTTGTCTTTGAGGGCTTCTCTGCTCACTCCTTTCTGCTTGGGGGGGGGGTTCCCCTGGTGTATGCTTGCTGCAAAGAAAATAATACTGGAAAATCCAACATATCTGAATATTCCCACGCTCAAAATAGAGGCCGAGGCCGAGGCACTGTCTACATATTTTCTAAAACGGGACATCATCGTGTGCGATTATCCAGATTTTACAAAACGGGACTTTACAGCTGTAGAATCGCTTTCCATTGAAAAAGCAAACTTAATAAAACCGGAATAATGAAGTCACCATCCAGAAAAACAAATCCTCTGGAGTGACTTCATTTCCTGCATTTAGAGCAAAAACGGAGAGACTGAAGGTTTACGGTCATCTCTGCTGTCCCGAGGGGTCGACTTCTCACAGCGCCGAGCTCCAGCAAACTGACCTACATGTCCGAGGAAAGTCCCCCCGCCTGCTCAGGCATCTTGTGACCGGAGCGGACCGACTCACTGAGGATGATTTGGGTCACAAGGTCAGCGTTTTTTGTTCTTTTTTCAGTAGATCACCCAGGCTGATCGTCACATGTCCGTTACACTAGATTAAGACACATAATCTGAAACATGCACCCAGCGGATGTTACAAATCAATTTAGAAAAAACCAAAAACACATTTTTGTGTTCAGCATGTCTCATTAGATGGTTATACAGATTATTGGATTGGCCCTATACTGGTTTTTCTTCATTTCTGTCTCTTCTGTGACGTCACAGTATGCCCCTATAAGGCTCAGGCTTCAGGTTGCTCTCAAACTTTATTAAAGGTTGTTTCTGCTCTTGGCTCTGCGTGATGTCAGTGAGATGGGATATCCCTAATATGAGTATCTGCTTTTCTAATCTCGTTTACAAGTGGAAGCAAGTCGGAAGAGAGCTCTCATGAAGGGAGGAAGGAGGTGAGCTGAAATGACAAGGGGCTGCAGCGACAACTATAACGAAGGAGTCAGTCACATTCACTTTAAGCAGCAAATCAAAGTAAGATTTTAACACCTAGTGAACAGCTGAACAAGCTGGAGGTCATTTCTGCTTTTTACAGCTGCCATTTAAATGCACTGGCTATGCCGCATGCATGCATTGTGATCGGATTGCAGTACATAAATAAGCGAGCTCGGTCACATCCCAGGTTAAGTAAGTCAGTGTCAACCCTGGACAGGTTTAAAGAAAGACTTGCTTCCCTACAGCTGCTGCCAGCAGCTTCGAGTTAGCAGTAAAAGGTGATGTGAAAGTTTTTTGTTTTTTTTAAAGGATGCCAGGTTTAAACAGGTTATGAGAGCTGTGTGTACAGTGAGAGCGTGCAGGTCCTGCAGCCAGAACAAATTTGCATGCTGTCATGATTCCCTAAATAGAACAGGGAAACACACGGACTGTGCTTATCAAATGTCACGTGGAAGCTGTTTTTACAGTAAGAGAAAATGTTTTTTAAAGACATTTGAGCATAAAGGGGTGTGTGTGTGTGTGTGTGTGTGTGTGTGTGTGTGTGTGTGTGTCAGCCACAGACCAGGATCCTATAGCCGGTAAAATTTGCCTACAAAAGAGGTTCCCAAAATAGAACAGGATCACCTTTGATATCTGACACTGGCGGCGTCTCTTCGTGCACATAAACGCTCAAGCTTGCACCTGTGCTTCAAGTCGAGCCGGCCGTCAGACGATATTTACCTTCAGGGCTGAGATGGTGACAGTTGGATTTCTGATAAACACATAAGTGATGCACGTACTCAGTCACTCACTCCGTTATAAACCTCCCTCTCATCTCTGCTGCAGGAACCGCAGATCACACACTTTTATCAGCTTTATCAAACAATGTAACCAACAAAACTACAACAGGTTTAAATAGTGGCCCCTTGATTCATCACAGTGATGGTGCTAAGAGGACAAAAGGCCTGGAGTTCACACCAATCATGGAGTCCAATTGAAGCCTCCTCAGATTCACACACTCAGCTGACAATGAGCCGTAGATCCTGAGAACAAAAGAGCAAAAACTGCAGAAGCTCCAAAGATTCAAAGTGTTTATTGTCACGTGTGCAAAGAAAAAGCATCAATAATAAGTGGAGACAAAAAAATAAGTTGAAGTGTTAAATATATTTATGTGCAAAGGAGCTATGAGCTTAATATGCTGGTTTGATATGTGAGATGACCTGATGTGCAAAAATTATTATTACTGTTAAAATAAATCAGCTGTTCAAGAGTCTGATAGCAGTGGGGAAGCTCCAAGGTCCAGTCTAGTACCTCCTTTGGTTTTGGCGCTCGGTCTAAGCTTAATTTATCCATTAGCATCGCTCGATAACTGATTAACTGACGTGTGGGATCTGAAATGCTGCTCGTCACTCTGACATGAAAAAAATACCTCAAATTTCTACCTGCTCGAGAAAAGAAGCCTCCAAAGATGGAGTGGGAGTCCAGACTTCATGTGTTTTTGCCTGTTCATCAGTTTCTGAAACATTGCTGATGCATTTATTTTATTTTTTGATTTTACGTTTGCTCTGATTTAGTCTGTATTTTTATGCAGCGCTGCATACGAAGTGTATCGACACGAGTGCACCAACTCGAGATTAAATTTCAAACCAGTAACACAAAAAATGCCTTAATGCATTTTAAATTACTGCACAGTACTACTGCATAGCTGCGGGCAAATTTATAACTGTTAATTTGTTTCTGACTCTACATCCATCACGAATCGCTAAACAAGAAGGCAAGTGGTACCTGGGTATAAACTGTTTATAAATGCTTTATAACACACTGTAAAACTGTTAAAGTATTATATTTCATAAGCTTGTTTCATCGCGCTTTCTGAGGTCAGAAGATTAGCAACAGTCCAAATGCTGGTAGGGATTCAGTTTCCTGTAAAAAAAAAAAAAAACAGCTCGACAACCTGCGTGTCAAAATAAAAGACGATCTCTCTCCTCCCTCCCAGCATGAACGTTGCTCCATGCTGCCCTCTGTCTCTTTGTCCGAGCTAAAAATGATGACAAATAATCTCCAAATCCATCACGAACAACATCTGCAGTGAAGAAAGAAACATCTTGAAAGCCCTTCAGGTAAAAGAAGGATTAAAGATATAACCTGATCTGAGCTGGCATGTGAAAAAGTCTGTGGCCCATCGCTGGAAAGATCTGATAGAGATCACTTCAGCGCAGACCTCTGCCTGTCGATAACCTACAAAGTGCTGCGTTATCAGGGGAGCCGGTGCGTTTCACACGCCTTCAAACAAAAGCTGCTTCAGGGAAAATGAAAATGGAGGTTTAATACCTTGTAAGACTATTGGCTTTAACAGTGACGTGAGGAGTGTGTGTTGAAGTCTTATCAAACCCTACTAAAAGCTACTTAGAAGGAACCCACAGGACTGACCGCACAGCCTCAAAATAGACGCACGCTTCCCAATTTGCAGAATGTGTTAATGGAGGCCACACACCCTCGTACAGGCACTTCTTTTTAGGAATATAATGCTGCCTCGTTCAGTGCAATTTTCTGCAAACAGCACAAAAGGTTGGGTTCAATTTGCTTTATGAGGCTAACGCCCTGCCAAAAAATCCAGCTGTTCACAGAAGATTGTTGTTGTTTTTCTGCTGATGCTTCTGGAAAGTCTAACATCTTTCCCTTTAACTCCCTGCTGCAAAAACGTCACTTTTCTGACAGCAAGTAGAACACGAGGTTATTCAGTTAAAAGTGTAATTACGGTACGTGCTGCGAGCTTGCATAGTGGTCAGTTTATGAAAGGACAACAACATGTATCAGCAGATATGTCGATTTATCGGGTTCTAAAAATAATCCATCCAACGTAAAAGCTGACAGCTGCAGCATTTCCATGCTTGGAAATCATTATTAAGCTTTTCAGGAAAATATCGAACACACTGTTTAACAGCAGAAAGATGGAGTGATGACACTGCAAGTGGTTTCAGATGTTTGAATGTTGAACAAAACAATAGAAAACTTCTGGAGCTCGAGGCATTGGTTTTTGGGTTTTTTTCCTTCAGTATATCGATATTGAGTTAGTGGTGCAGTAATTAATTCCTGCATTCAACAATATTCTCTAAAAATCCACCATCTTCTCAGACACTTAACAGCAGATTGTTTCTTTAAAGACAACAAAAACCTGTGTGTCCATCAGCAGCAGCTGAAATCTGATCCAAAGCTGCTGCCCACGCTGACCCCAGGACAGGAAGAAACGGAGCGTACAGCACCCTGAATTACGCGACCTTCCGGTACTTTCAGAAACACGATGAGCAATCGATACACAAAAAGGGAAGGTTTTCAATGATGAACCCGGCTGATCACGACGACTGGAGCGGAGTGATGTCTGCGGGGGTGACGTCACTGTTGGCAGGGGTGTTTTTACTCTCGAACGCCCGAGAGTTTGGCCATGAAATAAAAGGAGGAAATGATTTGGACAAGGAAGAGTGGAAACTATCGACTGAGCAAAAAAAAAAAAAACATTTCTTCAAGCAAACACTCTTGATTGCTTTGGCAGACGTATTAAATTGGATGGACGGACAGCTGTTGTACTTGGATGCTCCAAAGAGAGTACATCTATAAGGTATGAGCTTTTGAAACACCACAGATAGTGAACTCTTAAACAAAAGAAGAAAAAAGTCACCTCTCCCTAACAGCGACTAATAAAATTATTGATATGCAATTAAAACATGTTCCCGTGTTCCTGCTGTACATCACATCAACCGCACTCCTGCACACATAAACCCAAAGAAGAGGCTTCCTCTTTAATTCAATTACATCCGCCAGCTGCAATTTGGAGAAAAGGAGGAGGAGGGAAGGAGATGGAGGAAGTGGTGACCCAGACTTTGGCTCTTGGTGTAGCTGACTGCGATCTCAGGGGGGTGCAGAGTGGCTGAGCAGCTGTGTTAGCCAGGAAATGTACAACAGCACAGCTACACGCCTCCTGAGCGTGTAGCTGTGGCAGGATTAGGAATTAAGATTTTAAACATTTTGGTTTGTAGCGCTTTCCATGTCTAACATTAGCAACCATCCCAAATACCTGCGAGTGATTTCAGAATAACTAAGCAGCACATCATCAATGTCACGTGGATGTCAGTAAACTGTCTGAGGGCAGTTTATTATTAAAGTTTTTACCTCTCTGAAGTTCTGCAGCATGATTAAACAAACGCAGCTGGTCACCAATAACAATGGAAACGTGTACGGTTAAAAAGAAGGGATTCACAAGTAGCAGCACAACAACAGCAGTGGTTCCAGTGACTCCAGACATGCTGGCAGAAGTGTGGAACAACCAAAGGGGAGCGGGACACTGAGCACAGGGACCATCGTAAGTTTTGAAAGTAAAACGTTATATTGATCCATGAATTTAAAAGGTTACAGCAACCCTCTGTGTATGCATGAATGGATAAAGGGGTGTGTCACAGGAATGTGGAAAACGCATTAAAACCAGCTGACAGATAGCAGGCTAGCTAGTGCTACTGTTAGCTGAAAACTTGCCGACGTGTCCGCTTTTATCCGAACATCTTCAACTTTTAAAATAAGAAGGTAACAAAAGCCTCATTAATAGATCTTCAAACGTGTACCACAAGCCAAAGGGCGACTTTACTCACTCAGTCATCCGCTACATGTAAAGAACATCATACAAGAGCTAGAGAACAACTTCAGGTCACCGATGATACAACTCAGACAGGTGACACTCGTACAAAAACACGTACCTGTAACTACACACATATACAGCAACTGAACATCTGCAACAAGGACACATAATCAGTGACAAGCAGGTAAATTGTTTTTGTTTATAAAGCAGCAGCAGTGTCGTGGCCAATCAGTGTAGCATACTGCTTCGGCAACACTGCTTTTAGTTTATAGTAGCATATAATATAATGAAGTATATGAGTATATGAATGAAGTGCATTATAGCTCTGAAAAGTCCAGCCATGTCTACCCAAAGCAAAAGGTGCCGATCAGGCGCTAAAAGTTCAGAAAACCTGAGGTCAATAGTTCAAATGTCTACACGTGGTTAGAAAGTTTGGGTGTGGAAAGAGACTATTGAGACTCTTAGCAGCTACCATCCCGTCATGGACTCTTTCAATAATAAACATGTCCCAGTTGGCTCCAGTCGAGAAGCTCGCTGGCCTCCGGCAGATGACTGGCTGTGTAAATGTGTGAATTCTGGAGCAGGGCGTTGCTGGAAAAGAACATGTGTGCTCAGTTAGCTTTCAATGGGTAAATAAATCTCCAGGTTAAACCGATCATAAGCCCTTTAGAGCAGGGGTTGTGCTAACGGTTAGAAAAATAAGCTTGTGTGAGGATTGCTACAGTTTTCCAGCTTTGGATTAAAATCGCTGTTTGGGTTTTTTAAACCTCGCTGTCCACAATCACAGCTGCCCACAATCCCTCTGCTCTGGCTGGACTGGAGTCATCTTAATCCCTGAAGATTACACATATGCTCACATATAGACACATACAACTGTATAATCCACCGGATCTGTGAAAACACCACTTTAGCT